TTGGGCCCGTGCTATAATTAATGCCACTAGCAGTAAAAGGACATTAGGGATGTCTCGCATGTTGATTATTTCTTCATTTTGTTTATCCAAGTTTCCCGGCCTTAGAAGCTCTGTGGCCCTCGCCAGGGAAAACCCTGGAGACAGAGCGTTAGCTGCTGCTCCCTTGTAAGTGCATCATTACCTCGCTCCAAACAGAGTCCCCCCTTTTTTTGTCAATAGAGGATGAAAACATTATTGGATTCAGGAGTTCATAGTAGTCCTGTATGCGGCTGGGGACGAGGGGGATAGATTTATGAAATGGACCATTTCAAATGGCATTATCTTCCCACAGTGAGGTACACCTTTCATAAATCATGGGAGACTGCTCAGAAAAGAGAGCATTTGTTATGTCTGCAATACATGGTATTTGCATTCCCCAGATTCCTAGGGAAGAAGACGGCCTCTGATTTCCTTCCCTGGGTTTGAAAAGACGCTTAATCCCCTTACAGTGAAATTATACAAAGAAGAAGGAATGGAATAAAACAAAAGAGTACTTCATGTAAGTCAAGGATTATGCCTTGACTAATATATATTTTTTAATTGTGGTATTTTTTATTTTTGCCTGCTTATTTGGGCCTTTATTTAAGCATGGCATTAATTAAGTGCTACGGTCTCATTTTTCACTGAAAACACTGTGCCCTAGTCCACAGGCTAATGCAGGTGGATGAGCTCAGCTGGGCACGCAGGTGGGTGGGAACACTGGTTGAGCTTTTCTTTCCCAGTGTCAATCTTTTCCCATCCAGGGGCTCGTGGGTAATTATTCTCCCGTATGCCCTGGTCCAAATTACTTATGGTGGTGTTTCTAACATGAAGAGTCCCTTCTTTCTAGGAACCTGGGTGTAATTTGCATGGAGAAGCAAAGTGGATGCTTCTTTGTGTGTCGTTGATGCAAACTACCAAGTCATAATCAATCCCCCTGAAGAATTAGGCTTCTGAAATAACGTCAGCTGTTTCCCCCACAGCCAACCCGTCTTGCAGAAGTGTCCTTCCCTGGTTAGGAGTTAAAAGTCATCATCCTGAAAGTCAAGAGTCTCCAACCCAGTCTTCCACGTGTCTAAGGTCCCTTAAATGCCCTGGAGAACAGCCGGGGGACAGGGAAAATGTATGACAGCAGTTTGCAAAGTTTGAAAATGAGTTTATTTAAACCACCGCCCCCCCACACACACTTCCTCCTCTCTTCCCTCTAAAAATAATGTATTTATAATAGCTAAGATCTGGAAACAGCCCAAGTGCCCATCAGTAGATGAGTGGATAAAAAAGCTGTGGTACATATACACAATGGAGTACTATGCAGCTGTAAGAAAGAGAGATCTCTTACCCTTTGAGATGACATGGAGGGACCTGGGAGTATTGTGCTGAGTGAAATCAGCCAGTCAGAGGTAGACAAATACCACATGATCACTCTTATTTGTGGAACATAGTGAACAAAATAAGTTGCTGACCAAAAGAGGTCCAGAGTCATGGAAGTAGGGAACAGACTAACAAACCTCAGAGGGATGGGAGGGGTGGGAAGAGATAAACCGAAGAACTTATATGCATATGTGCACAACCAGTGGACACAGCCATTAGGTTGGGGAAGGCAGGAGGGGGGTGTGAGTGGGAAGGAGAGGGTCAATGGGGGAAAGGGGGGGGCATCTGCAATACTTCCAACAATAAAAAAACTGACCTCTGTAACTTAGGGGTGGGAATAATAGGATGAATAAAAGCCTGCTAAAATACATTATTTCAGACAGTTAAGACAAAAGGTTACATTTTAAAGGTAGATGAATCTCAAAAGTTTGAGACACTTTTTTTTCACCTGTGCATATCAAGATAAAATTGACTTGAGTGAACACATAAGAGGACCTTGAACTTGACTGACTGAACTTGATGGTCATCACAAGACACGGGGTGGGGGGATAGTTCCGTTTTGATATATTTTGGGAGATTGTTCAGGCAAATATGAGCTAGAATTAAGAAATTGATCCATGTTCTTCTCTCTGGTTGACTGCAAGGGATTAACGTTAAATAACATGAGTGAGGTCCCAGGTCAAGACCAGCTCTTCAGAAAGAGACATCCTTTGCCTGTCCATTTTCTGCCAGCCCACCCTCTTCTCACCCAAGGAAATAAGAGCTTATTTGCATGTGTAATAGAACAGTCTTGACTTGTATCAGACAGACACAAAACCTTGGCTTGAAGCCCGCCTTCATTTTTCCTTACCTCTCCTGCTTCTGTTTCTCGTGTGGTAGATGGGGACAATGCTGACAACCAGTCATTATTTCTGTAAAGACTTAGCTAGATAAGGAGTCCACTGGGCAGCACATAATAGGTGCTTAAAACGAATAATAGATACTATCTATCGAGGGCTTTCTATGTGACACGTATTTAGCTTCGCACTATGCAACTTCTCCCCTTTTCTCTTCAATCTGCAGAACAACCCTGTGACAGAGGCATCTTGTACCCATTTTCTAGATGAGAAGACTAAGGTATAGGGGTAGAAAGTCACTCATCTAATAAAAATCAGACCCTGGACCCAAACTCTGGTCTCTTTGACGTCAATATACTCACTGCATATATCTCCTCTAGTCCTATTTCCGGGGCTGTGGGTCTAGTACCCCAGGTCAGATAACCTGCCCAGGACTAGAGACCTCAGAGAGGGAGAGACAAGGAAGACCCAGCCGCATAAACTTCAAGTGTAGCTGAGTTACCAGAACTTCTATGCTACATGCTTATAGGGCTTCATCAGAGCAGTCTCTCTCTCACTGTATCTGACACGCCATAGATGGATCCACTCAGGAAGACAGATCGGAGGCAAAGGGCCCCACTGCATTGCCCGTGCAGCCCTGGACACAGCTGGAAAAATCCAGAATGAGGGTGGGACACCTGCAAAGTAGCTGAGTGTGAACCAGCAATTAGAAGCAGCCCAGCCAAGACTCCCAACCTCCCTGCAGCTTTCTGGGTCCTGCCATTTGAAAGGAATGCTCCCACCACTGCTTGGTGGGCTTGGTGGCTCCCTGATGGCTTGCAAGAGCTGGTGTAGCTTCAGAAAGGGTCATGCAGTTTCTGAGATCAAACCCCAACCGGGGGGGGGGAACCCAGACCTGTGTTAGCTAAGCCCTGCATTGCTGACATCCCCAGTCATTCCAAAGGCCTGATTTTCTGTCGTCAAAGGGTCTGTTTCCAGGTATTTGGCCAGATAGTTAAGAAGCTCATCAAGAGAAGAAGGTTCGAAGGAAAAACAAAAACCAGGGGTATATTGATTTCTGAGAATTCTTCCCAAGTTTCTCTTGGCCGTGGTACTGTCAGCCCGTGATGAGATTGTTGTTGAGTTTGGATTGATTTTTGTCTTTCAAGAGTCAGCACAAACCAACCCTCCCTGGGTAATCTTTTCCACCTCAGCCCTCTCCCCTCCCCTTCCAGGTAGAGTTCACCTTCATGACTGAGATTCTCTTTTCCATCATCAGCTTCTACCTTTTCCAGCGTCTATTACATCAAATGAAAATGGTCTTGTCTGGTTCATCTACTAGACTGGGAACTCCTTGAGGACAGGAACTTTCTTACCTTCAAGGTGCTCAAGATGTGTTTGCTACACCTGGGGAAGGGGGTCTAATGATCCCCCGGTGATGAGAGCAAAGAGTGCAGTGATAATGAACAGGACATCTGCCCAGCCGGCGGCAGAGATCCGCCGTCGTCCACATCTGCCTGGGCCTGCCGTGGCCAGGGCAGGTTGTGGTGCTGAGTTTGGTGCACACCCACGGAACTGCTCTGAATTCAGAGTCACCGATTTGATTGCTTGTGGAGCGTTTCAAGCCCATGGGGGGGGAGGGGGGTGCAGGTCACGGTGTCCAGGGTTTGCTGTTCTGAACCTGGCTCTTGACCTACATAAATAAGGAGTTTGGCCCCGGAGGTGGAAGTGCAGAGATGCCTTGACAGTTCCGCGTAGCCGCTTCCCCGATAATGCGGCCGGATCCGGAACACTGGAGGGAGAGGGTCAGCGAAAAAGCTCCCCCTGAATGTCTGGAATAAGTGAAAAACAAATGATAAGGGCACAGTTCTTCCATCCTTGTCCATAGGCCATCCAGGTATCCTCAGGTGAGCCTGAACTTTTAAAGGAAACCATTCAAAGTGAGAATTCGAATCCGTCATTTGGTTGATTTTTAAAACCGTGTGAGCTCAGAGTGTGGAATGAGAGGGCGATTTGGCTCAGGCTTGTGAAATCGATGGTTTCCTTCATCTTAACGCATTCAGAGTTTCCCTGTCAAAAAGACCGAATTTACAAATTCTCGTTTGAACCTTAACCAAAGTTTGTTTGACCACTATTTTTACATCTCTTTTTTTTACTTTTTTCCCCAATTTTTATTAATTTATTTTTGTTACAGATGTCCCCCCCCCCCGATATCCTCCTCCTCATCCCCCCCCCCCACCCATCAGCATTGTTGTCTGTGTCCATTGGTTATGCGTACATGCATATATGTTCTTTGGTTCTCTTTTGCAGACATTGTTACTCTTTATATCTACCCGATCCTCCCCAAACATCCTGGCCTTTGTGTTTCATAATTTCTCCCCCTTCTTGCTGTTTTGGTGTGTTCTCTGTTTGAGCTGACTACTGGTTTTATTTCTGAGGAGACTTTACAGTTGTGATATTTTTCAGATCCTCCTTGTGTGCCCCCCTGCCCCACATTGTCTTCACAGACCTTTGATTTGCCTCGTCCGTCCATCACTTTCCAAAATCCTGAAATGCTTTCTCTTTAGGCTTCATTGTATGCGAGCTCTGTGCTTGCTGGGCAGAAGCTGGCGAGCATGGGGTCTGGGACTTTACCTCCCAGACCCTCGACTGGGGCCAGTGCTGGCTCCTTCCTTAACTCCCCTTGTGACCTTGCAGATGTCATTTCACTTCCCCATCTATTAATTTTCTCATCTGTCCCTGCCGGCTAATTAATACCATCTCACCTTCCCCAGGGGCTATGGGCGACTCGGACAGCGACTCCACTGTGACACTTCAGGGAAGCCGTGCGGGAACGATGCGGCCCTCTGACTGGCGGTTTTCGCCAATGCCTTCAAATTCGGTTTCCTTTTCTCCCCGCTCAGAGAACACCGTCCACGCAGCCTGGTTTGTCTTTCTGTATTTGAAGGAGTCAACAGCTCCCAGGCTGACAGCAAACAGCCGAACAGGACTTTCACTTATCCACACAATGAAGAGATGTCGGCATTCAGCCCCGAAGAGGTAGTTTCTCTCTCTCTCCTCCCCGGGCGCGGGGAAATGTAATGATTACATGTCTGCACTCTGCAGACGTGTTGCAGGCCTGGGAAACGGGCGGGGGCTTCTACCTATCAGGTCGTCCATGGAAGGCAGGTGGGGCGCGTGGATGAAGTGGTCCAGGGAACTGGCCAGCGGCCCGGAGGGACCCCTGCACCAAGCCAGCCTCGGGGTGCATGCGCGGGGCGGGGTCCTCGCACCTTCTCCAAGCTGCTGGGCTAGTTCTTCCTGGAAGGAGCTTTAGGAACCAGTCCCGCAGGCATCAAGTGGGATCAGGAAGCAGGAATTTCTCCCCCTCAGCCCTGGTGCGGCCTCAGAGGAGAGAGTTGAAAAAGAAAGATTCTTTGACAAAATGCCTGACTTCTCAATAAACCCCCGCGAAAAAGAAAGGGGTGGGGAGAGACATGCACATTAGCCCCCCATTAAAAATAGATCAAAAAAGTACCCCAAAGAAAAAACCCACCACGATGAAATAAATGAGGAAAATACCACTGGAGGCCTGCACAGGAGTTTGCTAAAGGTTCTACTTTCCCAAGCCGCTTAGCGTCCTCACTCGCTGTTTCGGCCCCAAGCGGGAGCGGGAACACTGTCATTAGCTTCAGAAACCATTTCTTTTTTTTGTGTTAGCCCCGAGCTGAAGTTGTTTATTTTTTTCTCCCCCCTCAACTGTGGCCCTGCCTGTGTCAGACAGGAGAGTGTGAACCAAGGTGAGAGGCTAGGAGACCTGCCTCCTCCTCCTCCTCCTCCTCCTCCTCCCCCTCCCTGGAGCACCGGTAGACCCAGAGAATGCTGAGCTGGGGGTGGGTGGGGGGCAGGAGGCGTGGCTGCAGATCTGGTCCCCTGCTGCGCTGTCTGTATGGCTTTTCAGGATGGCTCCCCAGTAACGCCTGCTTTTCTCTGTGATCAGGTAGCAGGCCACCATATTAAACCAGAGGATAATCCTTTGCATTTTTCAATAAAGTAACTATTCCCCCCACCCCTCCCACTTTGCCCCTTAAAAAGAGCCAAAAGGAATGTGGCACCTAGATGCTATTTATAACCATTTTTACCGCTTGCCTCTAGGGCCTAAATTGGAAACCTAATTTTAGATCCATAAAAGCCAAAATATGTGTATGAGAAGCCCCCAAAATAAAATATTCCAGGGCAGCTCATAAGCGCCCTCCAAACAGGTTCAAGTTGATTTATCTCACCGAGGATATTTAATTATGTCATTGAAAAAACACCGGTAATTAAATCATTATTTCTTAGGCATTAGGTCCAAGGACGTTCTAGAGCAAGTCAAAGGCGGAGGGAGGGAGGAAGGAACTAAGAAAGGCAAGATGGGCCGCGGAGCCCGCAGGCTTGTTCAGGGGAAGGAGCGGGCTTCCCCGGGAGACCGCGCGGGACTTCAGTCCCTGTGAGCGGCTGCTGCACAGAGCGCGGATCATGCCGAACGCAGCCCTTTGCTCCTACCTGGCAGGTAGCAGGTTTGTCCACAAACCACTGTGGTGCTGGCTGTTACCTAATCACTGCGACTGTTCAGGAGACCTGTCACTGAGCCCCCAGAGAACTGCCTGTCTCCCTTTTAGGAGCTTCCTGGATGTCTTCATGAGGTTGCACAGAGGACTCACACCTCACAGATCTCAGAACGTGGGTCTTTTCTGGGTGGCCAGACTGAAAAATGTACTTTCTCGTGAGAGAGTCAGAAGTAAGACTCTAATGGCATTTTTGCTTTTGAGAACCTCTCAGATCCTGGACAGCCCAGTCCCCACGACAGCTCTGTTCTGTTTTACGGACACCCGTGACAGCTCGCGTGATTCCCTCGGCCTCCTCATCTCTCCTGAGGCATTGCCTGCCATCGGAGCAGCGGGAACCTTGGGAGTCCCCGCCCTGGGAGAGGTGCCAGCACCCATTTATCAGGGGAGCCCTTTCAGGGACTGTAGTAGGCAGACCTCTGGCCCCCCTCCTGTAACTCGTATGGATGGCATTGCCTGATGAAAGGGCGGGGATGATTAAGGTCACTAATCGGCTGACTTTAAAATAGGGAGATTTTCAGGGTAGGTTCAATGTCGTCATAGGTGCCCTTGAGAGCAGAAGAGGAGGCAGGGAGATGGGTCAGAAAGGAGGCAGAGAGATGACAGGCATGAGAAGGATTTGATGTACCCTGCTGACTTTGAGGATGAGGGCCCACGTGGCAAGCACTATGGGCAGCCTCTGGAGGCTGGGAGCCAAGGGAAAATGGGGACCTCAGGCCCACAGCTGCTGGGAAAACAAGGACCACAGGCTCCCAACCACAGGAAAATGGGATCTTTGTTCTACAACCACGTGGAACTGAATTCTGCTGATGACCTGAGTGAGCCTGGAGCAGAGTCTTCCCCAGGGCCCCCAAGAAGGCTGACACCCCAGCTGGGTGACCCGTGGTGACTGTGAGACACAACGTGGATGTGTTGTTTTAAGTCGATGGGAGTCTGTTACGGCTGCGATACAAAACTATTCCGGCGCTCGCTCGGGGCCTTTCACGGAAGGGTCTCAACCAGCCTTCCATCTACGTAGCTCGGCTCCTGGTCCATCTCTGCCTTTTGCCCGGCTTCCCCTCCCAAGGGAATGTGCTCTCCTCATTCAACTGAATTGCTTTTGTTTGATTATGAGTGTGTTCAGAGTCATACTCAGCCTAATTATTGCTTTTGACTAACCCCAACGCATAATGTTGTATGTCATGCTGTACTACTTTTAATTTCACAGATGAACACATTTCTATTCTTTTAATCCCCCTCTCCAAGTCTCGTGTTAACTCCATCTGGACAAAGCACTGAGGTGTATGTGTGACTTCTCCAAACGGAATGCCGCAGCTGCCCTGGGCTCACCCCGCAGGGCAGGCGGGTCCCGGGGGGGCCCTCCTGAGTGAGGGCAGCCTCACTGTGCTGAACGCACTGTGCCGGCCTGAGGAATCTCAGTGGTAGATCACACATGTCCTTCCACATCTTTATAACTTTTGGCACCCAGATCGACCTCCTCAGTAGTAACAGCAATATTTATTTAGTGTTTGTCACAGGCGGGGAAAGGGATCTGCTCAGAGCTGTCCGTGGTTCTTTAACTTGATTGCCATACGCCCATTTGGTAGATGAGAGGACTGAGGCCACGTAGCTGCAAGTACAGTCCAGCAGTCAAGCCCAGGCCTGACAGCAGAGGCCACGTTCTCCACGACCGAATACTGAATGTGCTTCTGTTTCGTTCCGGGTTTTGGTTAAAAACAAGGGACAGAATGATCCCGCCTTTCCTATCTTGGTAGATGATAGATGGCCCGTCTCATCCCTCCTTGTCCAGTATTTCCTCCCAGTCTTTGGGCTGAATCTGTAGTCTTCAGGGCAAATGGAATGCATGGCGGGCAGGGCGGGGGAGTGGTGGGTTTAGGGGAAGTTACTCAGTCAATGGTTATTTCCTTGAGGAAAAAGGAAAAGAAAAGTGGAGCACTTTTTAATGTTTGTTACTGGAAAAGCACAGTGGCATGCCATTGTTCTGGGAGGAAGGGGCTTGTTGGTCTTATCAGCTCCTGATGGAATAGGATGCTGGGTGGGAAGCTCAGTTAAAGCAGGTGCACTTGGCTTTGAGAAGGAGTGGAAAAGCGGAACCCTGGCTGTTCAAAGTCTAATTATTTTCCCTCTTCAGGCACACCACAGACACACACACACATACACACACAGGTTCGGGGTGTGAGGATCTGTGGGTTTCTAAACCCATCAACGATTCAACTTGAACTAACTTCCATTATGCGGGGTAAAAGTTTTGCTCTGGGAGCCTTCACCCTGGGGCCATACTTCCTGCAAGCATTTTGATAATGGCTGCTCTTCGACCCTGACAGCAATGACATTGGATATCGCAAAAGACATTTAAAATTATCTACTGGCACCATGCCAAGTTGGGGGGACCCTTGAAGAGGGTTGACCCCTTTGGGGAAAAGCAGACTTTCACGGCCACGGTTCTGATCGGCTCCTTGTTGTAGGCCCGGTGTGGGCCAGGGGTGTGGAGACTGAAGGCTCAAGGGCTTCACTAGGTGGACAGTTCTTTCCAACCGACTCCAGCTCCTCTCTTAACTCCCAGGCGCGACAGCATTTATAGGTGATCAGTGAGGGCAAGAGACAAGATGAGGCTCAAATTTTTATTTTTATTTTTAGTCGTGAATAAGGAAAACCCCACCCCAAACTGGCTTAGGCCAAAAAAAAAAGAAAGAAAGAAAGAAAGAAGGAACTGGAAGGGGAAGGGAGGACAGAAATAGCAACATGTGCCCACATCCTTCATGTTCAAGGAGCACTGGGGGAAAGAGCAGTCCAGCACCTCCCACAGTGGACTCTCATTGGCCCTTAGTGGGTCACATGTCCGTCCCTAAGCCAATCACGGAGATCCTGTCTGGACCTGGAATGAATACCACCTTGCACCTGGGGGATGGGATCAGCTTGAGCCAAGCCATATCGAGTGTGAAGGATGGAGGGAAGAAGGTATGCTATTGCTGGGAAAAGTGAGATGGATCTAGAAAAGCCAAAAGCAACAGACCTCCTCCCTTACAGCAGCTATGTTGCTACAGCAATACCCATTCCAGGAGACCGTGACAATCTTATTTGATGTTGGTCTCGCTCTAGAATCCTCCCCAGTGGCATTGGAGACCGTTGCACCTGGGAGACTTGTTTTCTGCACCTGGGAACCAGTGATGTGAGTACCAGGCTGGGCCTGTGGAAGGGGCCAGAGGGAGGGACATGCACAGTCATGAAGGGGTCCGGCCAGGATTGCAGATGGCAGGGAAGGTCTGAGCAGGACAGGAGACAGTGTCTGACACCAGCATGACAAGGGCAGGTAGCAGCATCCTCGCCATAGAAGGAGGTAAGGGCAATTGAACCCAGCAGGGGATGGTTCCCCCTCCAGGCCATTTTTCAAACATGGCCTACGTGACCTTGAAACCCAAGTCTGGGTATGCCATCACCCTCCCCACACCAGGTCAGGAGTGGGGAACGTCCAGCCCAGGGACGTTCATGACATCATATAAGGCCCTTGACATCAGTGCCAGCGAACATCACAGCCTCACCAAATGAGCCTGACCAAATAGAGCAGGCTAATTTTTAAGTGGATAATTTTGTATGGCCCACGAATGATGGTATAAATATTCAAATGGCCCTTGGCAGAAAAACAATTCCCGACCCCTGCACCCCGGTTAAACCACACCATTGATGTTCTGTTGCTCTGGGATAAAGGTGGACCCCTGGACAGCTCCTACCAGTGATCTGGCCCCTACCTCCTTGGTCTCATTTCCCAATGGTCTCACCTTGATTCTCTGTCCTCTTACTGCACCAACTTCCTTTCAGGTTCTGGAACTTTCCTTGCTGCCTCCTGCCGCAGCCTTAACAAATGCTCTTCTGGCCCCTTCTTTCTCTCCACTCATTTTTTTTTTTTTGTATTTTGACTTGTCACTCCCTCCAGAAACACATCCCTGACGCATCCACTCTTCCTATACGTTCTCATGGTTCTGCACATTTCTTCCTAATAGCAATGCACGGAGCTGTGATGCTGTGATTTTACTTTTTTTCCCCCTTCTTATTTAGAAATTCTTTTTTTTTTTTTTTTAATTTTTTGTCTTTATTGATTTTAGAGAGAGAGAAAGTGAGAGGGAGAGAGAGATAGAAACACGAATGAGAGAGAACATCGACTGGCCGCCTCCTGCATGCCCCCCACTGGGGATTGGACCCACAACCTGGGCACGTGCCCTGACCGGGAATCGAACCGGCGACCTCTTGGTGCATGGGTCGATGATCAACCTGAGCCACACCAGCCGGGCCATTTAGAAATTCTTGTTTTTCACACTAGACTGTAAGCTCCGAGGCCACGTGTTGGTGTTCATTCACCAGTGAATCCCTAATGCCCCACCGCGGGCTTAGCAGTCCACGCGTGTTTACTGAGTGAGTGAGTGAGTATGTTCTCAGGCTTCCAGAACAGCTCAGGAACTGCAGAGGGAAGCGGGAAGCAAACCTGACGCCCAGTCACACACAGGATGCATGGGCCAGCTAAGGCTTCAGCAACGCCACACAGTGCTCATGACAAATCACTCATTTCCCCGATTTTGCTTTGTTTCCTTGGAATTTTTTTTTTTTTTTTTTAGTAGTTGTTGTTGGTGGTGGTGGTGGTAGTAGTGATTGTGGTGAGGCTGACCATATACTAGCTGGCTTGACTATTTAATTCAACTCTAGATGACCACCCTTGACATTCCAACCTCCAAGTTAGAGTCCTTGGAAAATTCAGCTCCTGTTCTGATCAAACCCAGCAAATGGAGTCCAAGTCTTGTCCTTTGGCCCTAGACTGGGCTAATGTCCATCTTTTGTCTGTAGAAGATAATGGGTTTGTGAAACAAATCAACACTGTAGGCACAATTGCAGGGTGGGGTCATATTTAACCTACTTTAGGGAACACACTCTTTTTAAGGGCTTTGCAGGCCAATGGTATGCAAATAGATGCTAATTGCAAGCACAAGATTCAGACCTTGTCAAACTAGAAATCTATTCATCAAGAGCCCCCTGAGCACCTCTGCTCTACTCCATGCCATTTAAATTGCTGTTTTATGGAACATTCTACCATCCTCACCCCCAGTGTATCTTTGTCTTTCTCTGGAGATTATTGCCTCGGAGACTCATTGTAGGCAAAAACTGTCCCCTTCACTTCAGCCTAATACCCAGCAGGTATCTACTTCAAAACAGAGATGCAGCTTCCCAGCCTGTGTGGCTCAGTAACTGAGCGTCAACCCAAGAGGTTGCTGGTTCGAGTCCCAGTCAGGTCACATGCCCAGGTTGTGGACCCAGTCCCGAGTGGGGGGCTGCAGAAGGCAGCCAGTCGATGTCTCTCTCATCAATGTTTCTATCTCTCTCTCCCTCTTCCTGTTTCTCTCAAGTCAATAAAGAAAAAAATTTTTTTAAAAAGAAAACAGAGATGTGTATTGAGGTCCTGCTCCTCTGCCAAGCAGTGCAACAGGCAACAGCACTACAGAGCTGCCCGCACGAGCGGGTGACTCTTCTCTGGAATGCCCGGCTCTCCTCTCCCTCTTGCAACTGGGAGCCGGCCCATCTCTCCCAGCTCAAAGTCCGTCTTCCCCGAGGTGCCCTGCTGGACGCCATCAATCCCCCCTCCACAAGTTTGCAGCATTTTGTCTGTTGCACTTATCAGACACTTTTCCCTTACTGCCTTGTATTGTATTTGTTTTCATTCATTAATTCAGCCAGCATTTACCGATTGCTACTGAATCAAAGTCCCTGCACAAGATGCTTCAGGGGACAAAAGATGGACGAGACATGGTCCTGGCTTTCATACGTTATTTCTCCTACTCAGCAGCAACATATGTCAAGGCAAGGACCATATCTCACTCATTTTCTATTCATCTCTTCTTTTCTTTTTTTATGACCCATAAAAAGGCATGGCAGAGTAGGTATTATTGCACATTTTTTTTCGATGGATGGATGGATGACTAGAGAGATGGATGGATGGATGGATGGTTGAATGGTTGAATGGTTGGATAAATGATGCATAGATAGATGAACGGTGAAACTTTTATATTTTACTGAAAATCTGTAATGATATCCTAGTGGCTTTCTAAAAATAATGTAGCTGCCCAAATGTCTGATTCCCCTGGTGTATAGGTGGAGCGTCAGCGACATGCCAAGCCCATGCCAGGAGCTAGAAATACACACATAAATAAGAACAACTCAGATATAGACTCTGGCCTCAAAGACCCTTTGCTATCGGAGTATAGGACAAATCCCTACGTATGGGAGTTGAGGTTGGCGGTGGGAGCAATAATAAAAATGACCTGCGGTGTTCCAGGAAGCAGATGCTTGTTCACTTTGTTCTTCCTTGATCAGGGTGCTCTGCAGAGAGGGGACGGCAGTCAAAGGCTACATAGCACTTTTCCCCATGGAAATGGAACTTTGCTATCAGGGCGAGGCGGAGAGCCTGCAGGTGTCACACACCAGGGCTAGTTCTGGTGGAGCAGGAGCGCTTGTTCTCAAGTGATGCTCAGCAGAGCTCCCCAGACGCCCTCCATGAGTCCCTCCCGGTCTAAAACAGGTGTTGGTCTCTAAAAGAACTGGTCAGGAGAAGCATGGAGGGCTGTGTTGGAGTGTGCTGGGACACCTTAGCCAAATGAGGCGAGTGGGAGGTGTGAGCTCCAGGGTCCCAGGGAACTTGGCCGAAAGAGATTAGAGTTTTACCGGAGCAAGTGAGGGCGGGTTGCGGTCAGGACGGTATGACGTTCTCAAGCAGAGACGCCATGCTGAAGGTAGCACTGGGCATGTTTTACCACCATAGTTTTTCAAGTATGCTTTTTTCCCCTTTTCTTTCTTTTTTTAAAATTAATTAATTAATTTTTTTATGACCGATGTCCCTCCTTTTTCTCCCATTGACACCCTCCTCCCCACTCCCACCCCCCCACCCGGGCCTTCACCGCACTGTTGTCTGCGTCCATTGCTTATGCATACATGCGTGTAAGTTCTTTGGTTTATCTCTTATTAGACTTGTTTCTACTTTTTTTGCACAGACTTTGTTTTTTAGAGCAATTTTTAAGTTCACAGCAAAATTGAGAGGAAAATACGGTACGTTCCATGTCTCCCCTGCCCTGGAACACGCACCACCTCTCCACTGTCAAGTCACTATCCCCCACATTCATTACAGTCGATGAATCTACCCCCCAAAGTCCACAGTTTATATCGGGGTTCACTCTGGGTGTTTGGGTTTGGACAGACTGACACGAGTCCATCAGTGTGGTATCGTCCTGGTTCGTTTCTCGGCCCTAAAATCCTCTGTTCTCACCTGATTCTTTTCTGAGCTTGCATCAGCGTCGGTTTCGTGTTCTGAAAGTGTGTCACAAACAAGCAGTTTGATCTCCTCCAAACATTGCCCCAGCCCCCTGGGGGAAAGAGCAGCCCGCGGGCCGGGCCGGAGACTACTGCTGTTTTGGAAACTGTCAAGGGGCGTATCTCAAACACTCAAGACTCGAAGAAATAGGATCTTTCCCCAAGAAAGTCTGTCATTGCCTGGGTGGCGTGGCTCAGTCGGTTGAGTGTTGCCCCATGCACCGAAAGGTTGTGGGTTGGATTCCCAGTCAGGGCACGTGCCCAGGCTGCAGGTTCCGCCCCTGGTCAGGGTGCCTGTGGGAGGCAACAGACGGATGTTTCTCTCTGTGCATCCCTCCCTCCCTCCTTTCCTCTCGCTCTCCAATCGATAAAAACATATTTTATAAAAAAGAAAGATTGCCCTCTCTTCTGAATAATCGCTGTCCTTCCAAGTACATGGGTATCTTTCGACAAGAACAAATTTGCTAGCAGCTTGAGGATTCTGTTCAGCCTTAAAGATCTCAGCACCATAATGTCTGTTATCCCTGTACTTTATTTAATAGACTTGCCTGATGTGACGTTTTATATCATGCTTTGTCTCTAAGTGATTTACTGCTGGGAAGATAATAAACAGCCCAGGTTTATACTCAGAAAGTCAAATACACCATGAATATCGCCTTGTGAGGCATTTTCAATTAAAGAGCCAATACTTACTGAGATGGGGGCACATCCCTTTTCCAACACACCACACCACCAGCCCTGTTTGTGCGGAAATAAAGAATTATGCTGAGATGCCAACAGGCAGTGACGACCAGATGAATTATCTGAGGAAAACGGAGCATCTAATGTTCTTGGGAGCTCACAGGGAAGAGTTATATTCACTGGAGCTGAGGGTTTCTTTTTTTTTCTTCCCCTTTTCTCTTTTAGTTGTAAAAACAATCACAAATGTGAGTGCTTCGGGCTTGAACATGTCAACAGCCAATGGCCCACTGTGGAGATAGAGATGTCACCTGTCTTTGAGGCTGAGGCAGCAGAGCAGGTGTTTCTGTGGGAACGGGGGGACCGCCACCACCGCACACCTCTAATCCTGGGTCTCCTTTCTGCCGAAACGCCCGTGATTCGTAACTCAGCCACGTTGCCGAGGGATGTCTGTTCAGATCGACTCTGTCTCTAAGAACTTCAGTCAAGGGATTTTCAAACAGCCGCTTGATTTATGAACTTGAGCCTCTCACTCAGGAAGAGAACTTTTATTTGCAAGCGCCCTATGAACAGGGGGCTGAAAGAACTAATTAGGACTCTCTTCCCCTTTTCCCTTTTCCAGTCTCAAAGATTTCCCTGCTCAGGTGTGGGTGGCCCGCACGTGCACTTGTGAATTTGCAGAGAAGTAGGTGGCGGGGTGGGGGTGGGGGGGGGCATGACTAATTCCACGTCTTCCCTTTTGTTTGTGCAACAATTCAGTTCCCTGTCACCACCTCAGCACATTTTGTTACAAATCTCCGTGCTCTCTCACTTTCGTTTTACTTCATGCCTTTCTACATTTTCCCAAGGCCACACGGGCTCTTTTCTTGTGAGTGGCAAGCCTGCGTCAAATCACTAAAATTGCCTGGGTCTTGGAATCTGAGCCTTCATATTCTCCCGTATATTATTTGGTCCTATTGTTCCTTAGCTCGCTCATCATTCACACGGTGAAGGAAATTCCATTTGGTCCTTTTAAGACCGCCAGACTAGCTGACTTAAACACTCAGCCCCAGTTACTTCTGGATCTTCTCGTTCTTTATTGAAATGGTCCTTTTAATGTCGTCTTTAATTTAATCAAATAGTGTCATCAAAATAACATTTACTCTATTACTGCAAATTCACTGCATTATTAACTAGTGTAACTAGACAAAAAAGATGGTACAAACCCCCATGGAAATATATACTTACTGTAAAAATGGATACAGTTCATAGATGTTCTATATTTAATTTGCAGTTTCAAAGCACTCTCTATGGAGAGGTTTTATGGTTCTGAAATAATTTAAAAACACACTTTACTACAATCCATAGCAGGTAGTTTTTGCCAATTTGGGAAGTTATGGTGCTTTGTACTTTCCAAAGGCACCCACACTGTATTTTTAACAGTGAGGAAGGGGGCGCCATCCCCACCGCACCGGTGGGTCCGACCAACGACTCACGCGTTTTCCTTTGGTGCCCTCCAGCAACTCAAATACAACACGGTGTTGGCAGGGGTCACCAGGATCCAATCAGCTTGATGAAAATACCAACCATCACCGCCACTTTGGAGTGTTTGATCTGAAAACAGGTCACATTTGGGGCAGGGGGTGAAGAGTAAGTAAGGGGGTTACAAAGTTTAAAAATTCTTTCTTTGATTCAAGAGAAAAACATGGACCGGGAGGACAAGAGCTCTGGGTTTAGGATGTCGAATAAGTTATTTGCTAAGCCTCAGTGTTCTCATCAGTGAGACACTTACTATCAAGTAATCTAATGTGTTCAGATGCTTGTCTACCCACCTTCTCTTGAGATCAGGAATACCATTTTCCAGTTAGATATTTTAATCAGAACCAGCTATTTCTTTGTAGAGTATGAAGGTAACGTATCAACGGAGCATCCCTCACTCAAGATTTTCATTCTTAAAAAAAAAAAAAAAAATTTCATTCTTCTCCCTACCAAGAAATTCTATTCTTGGAAAGATATTAGATAGACGTAGAAATAAGGGTATTGAACTAAATAGTCAGTTCATTTCAAAAGTCATATGTGTTTTACCTGTCGCTGTCCCCACCGCTGGCTGAGTACTACCCGAGGCTCTGAGAACGTGAATACAGATAACTTCTAGGTCTCTGTCTCATGGAACTTAACATCTAGTTGAGGACGAAAACATGTGGAAAGAGTGATAAAGTTACTCAGATGTTACCATAGAAGTCTTCACAGGGTTAACTACTCATCTGTCCGTCCGTCCATCTCTCAGTCTTTTTACCCATTTGACTGTCCATCCCACCATCCCTACTTTCTCCCTCCATCCCCCCACCCGCCCCTAGAATGTCAGAACCATCAGTGCTGAATCTCACTGTGATATGAGGGCACGAGATCAAAGAGCTGGTCAAAGTGGGCAGCAGAACGTGGAGGTCCCGGTACTGATGAGACCCCGTACAAATATGACGTCAGAAAGACTGGAAGCCTGAGGCCAGATGGACAGACCGATGGATCTGAGACCGTGGGGGGAAGCCGTGCTCCCTCTGTGGTTCTCCATCCACTGGAATCGCCTGAGGAACTGTAAAAAAAAAAAAAAAAAATCCCGATGCGTGGGTTCCTCCTCCACAAGGTCTTACTTAAGTGGGTAAGGGTGCAGCCTGGGCATCAGGATGTTCAAAAGCCCCCGAAGTCATTCCAACGTACAGCTGCAGTTGGGAGTCAAGGACGTGTGTGAGGGCAGCCTCTCTGGGTGCCCGAGGGAAGTGTCAACAGTGTCTGGGCCTTAGGTGGTGCCGGGTGGGTCAGACTGGTTGGACAGAG